CCTAAACCTCATTCTTTATTCAAGCCTAATGACGCACCATTGATCCAAGTACCTGGTGCGTACTGGATGACAGGCGTGCAGCTCTGAGCCTGATCTTAACTCAAAGAATGTTTAGTCACATCAGACGAGGAAGAAGAGGAGGAAAACTTTCCAATGGGGAAGAAGGAATTTTCCTGTTTGAACGAGTAACCGTAGAAAACACCCACTAATAATGACAGAGCAGGGCAGTGTTGTTTTATTGTTTATTGTTTTTATTTTACTTTATTTTTGTTGTGTGATTGTGACAAATCACTCTGACATCACTCTGAGAACTGAATGTGTCAGCGAACAGCTGGAGACATCTCGTAAATAAAACCGGATGACATGGGTCGGTGATGGCCATGAAGCCACAGAGCAGATGTCCTGCACAGACACCTACCTCTCTGTGCAGAGCTGTGGAGGTAGAAGTCCCTCTGGTGGAGTGAGCCCCGAGTCCTTCAGGCGGCTGAAGGCCAGTAGAACTAGAAGCTTGTGATGTAGCTTCACATAACCAATGTGACAGACGCTGAGAAGATAAAGGCTGACCCTGTGATCGTTCCCTGAAATGTACAAACAACTGATCGGATTTACGCATCGCGGCTGTGAGTGACACATAACACCTGAGTGCACGTACTGGACAGAGCAGGTGAAACTGTTCCTCCTCCGTAGTTTTATGGGGAGGGGGACAGAACCCTTCCAGTGTAACGACTCTGGACCTGAACAAACTTGGTGTGCTTTTGGGTATAAAAGCAGGATTTGGTCGGAGTTCTGCTGAGCTCCCGTCTCCTTGAATTCTGAGACAAGAAGGAGCGACGGACAGATCCGACAAGTCGCTCACTCTTTGAGCTGATGTCAGAGCTAATAACAAGGCTGTTTTCAGTGACAGATACTTCAAGGGTATCTGGTCCAGAGGCTCAAACTGATTTTTAGTGAGTGCACTGAGAACGAAGACTAAAACCCACTGTGGTGCCAGGGTGCGTGTCACTGGCCTGAGCCGGCGCACACCTTTCAGAAACCGTTTTGTTAAAGGGTGACTGAAAACAGTTCTATCGTTGAAACCTTCATGACAGGAGGAGAGTGCTGCAGCATAAGTTTTAATTGTGCTGAAAGCTCAGTTTCTGTCCAACAGCAGCAGCAGGTAGGACGAAATGTAGCCCAGGGAACATGAAGTCGGGTCCACCTCCTTTTCTAGGCACCATCGCTGAAAAGCAGCTCATTTAGAAGCGTAACCAGCCGTAGTGGATTTTGCGCGTGCCCCTGGATGGTACATATTACGTCTTTAGAAAACCCACATTTTTCTAAGCGTTCTCGTTCAGCGGCCAGACCCAAAGGGGCTGACCTATTATAGGGGGGCTCCTAATTGCTCCTCCCGCCTGTAGGAGCGCATCCTCTCTCCATGGCAACTTCCACGGTTGACCCATCAGCTGTTGCAGAACCAGGAACCACAAGGCGTTCATGTGTTGTGGGGCGATCAGAATCATTTTCAGATTCTCCTCTCTCACCCTCTCCATCAGTGCAGATATCAGGGGAACTGGAGGGAAGGCATAAATCAGCGTCTTTGGCTGTGGTTTGTGTGCAAACATGTTCATGGCGGATCATCCTGTGGATTTAGGGAGAAGACCAGGGTGCACTGAGAATTCTCTCGGGTGGCCATCAGGTCCACCTCCGCTCTCCCAAACCTGCTCCAGATTTGCGAGATTAGATCTGGATGAAGAAACCAATCCCTGTCCAGAGTACGTCCTATCGACATAATATCTGGTCGTCTGCTTAGAACGCCTGGGATGTAAACTGCTCTGATCGAACATAAATGTGTGCGCGTCCAGCAGAGCAGTTCCCGAGCTGCATTCAGCAGCTGAGCTGAACGCACGCCCCCTGGGACATTTGTGTACGCCGCTGTGGTTCTGTTGTCTGTGTGGATCATCACGGGATGATTCTGAACCATTGGAGAAAAATGGCTGAGTACCTTTTTTACTCCAAAAAGTTAAATCTGGTCCTCTGGACATCCAAAAAACAAAACAAAGCAAAACAAACAAAAAAAAGTAGAAATGTTTCGTCTTCCGTTTCTATATATTTTTTTTGTTTTGCTTTGTTTTGTTTTTTGAATGTCCAGAGGACCAGATTTAACTTTTTTTTATTTTTCTACCTGGATTATTGAGCAGCATCAGGACCTTTTTTACTGTGAGAAGTTCTAAAACATTTATGTGACAAGACGTGCCGGCCGGCCACACACCTCCCACCGTTTGTAAAAGGCAGGTCCCTCCCCAGCCGGAGAGGGACGCGTTTAGGAACACCAACATGAATGACGTCACCTTGCCCAGGGGAACTCCCTCTGACAGCTTCAGGGAATTCCCCCAATGGTTCAGATCTGCTCCCACAGATGGAGGAACGGTGATCAGGCGCCGTTTGTGACGTACAGGGTCGACTTTCAGTCAATTGAACCATCTTTGCAGGCGGCGCATAAACAACAACCCCAGCGGCACCACAACGTGAGTCGCTGACATCATTCCTAACAGTCTCATGACTGTCAGTGCTGTTACTGTTCTGAGAGGCCGGACAAACTGAAGCAATGACATCAGGGATTCCCTCCTCTGTTCTGACAGGGCAGCTGTCATGTTCACCGAGTTTAGATTCACTCTCAGGAATGGAATTCACTGAGACGGAATTATAGAGCTCTTCTCCCAATTTATTGTGAATCCCAGATGAGACAGATGATTCACTAAAACAACTGTTTGTGTCTCTGCCTCTTTTCTGGACCGAGAAAACAGCAGGAAGTCATCCAGATAAAACAGGATTTTTATCCCTCTTGTTCAAAGCGGCTGGAGGGCTGACTCCATACATTTTGAGAACGTGCATGGGGCAAGCGCGTATCCCAACGGCAGACGGTTGTACTGAAAACAGGCCCCCTGGAAGGAAAAACTGAGGAATTTCCTGTGTGTTATTTTTTAAAATTATCGGAATGTGGAAGTGTGCATCCTTCAGATCTATGGACACAAACCATTCCCCTCGTGTCACGTATTCGAGAACACGTTTCACCATCAGCATGTGAAAGGGTTGTTCCATGATGAGTTTGTTGAAGGCAGACTGATCCAGAATTGGTTTGAAGCCTCCCGACTTCTTTGGAACAGAGAAGTACCGGGAGTAAAAAAACGGCTTCCTCCTCTCCCGGGGGAACTCTGGAAATCACGTCTTTTTCCAGAAGCTCCATCAGCTCGATTGGAGGATTACGCCTTGTTCTGGGGATGATAGGTGAGTTTCTAACAGTCCGTTGAATTTTGGTGGTGTTCTCGCAAAGTGCATAGTGTAACCCTTGTGAATTAAACGATGCAACCATTTGTTCAAGCTGCATGTTTCCTGCCACGACGTGCTGCACTCCGAAAGTGGGAGAGCGTGGATGTTTTGTCTCGTAAGGGAGAACAATAACTGAGCCTCTACTGCCGTCGTATCCTGTGGGGGGCTTCGCCCACACCGACCCATGGGAGGCTGGCATGAAAAGGGCCGTTTGTCAGCTCCTATGTAACGGTTCTTACAATGTTGCCGGGCCATGCCCAGTTGGGGAGAAGAACCGGTGTTAGCGGGTGAATAAAACAAGCGCCACTTCAGTGGAGGTTCACCTTCAGCACTCACTTCTGTCAGCTGATCAGGAGAGAGAGATGGATAACCCCTGCATAAAGCTCTCGTTTTAACTGCAGGTTCATGTTTTCTATCCGAGTGTGTGGAGTCAGAAAGGTCCCTGTGTTTTTTGGGCATTAACTTTTTGTTAAACATCTTACCGCTCTGTGTTTTGTGACAGCTGTCCTCAGGCTGGTGGGTGGATGGAGGAGTCTCGGAGCGCAGTCACTCTATCTCCTGTTTGTGTGTCATTACACCAAAACTGCTTTTCTTTGTGTTTACCTTTGAACGGTTGCCTCAGGCTAACCTTTTCATTAATTGTGGAGGATGTGCTTACAGAAAACGGAACAGATGAATTCAGCCTGTCTGAATGAAAAACTCCACTTTTTGAGAAAGGTTTTTTATTTTTCACTTTAAAAACCCTGATGATCTCAGCAAACACACACCCCTGAAACCGTCTTTTTTATTGTACTGCCTCCTCTGCGTTTCCTGCATTTGATTTGTCCATGGGCCATTCTGTTGCATCTGGGACGTTTGTCCTCTGGGGAAGGCTGGTGGGGGGCCCCCAGAAAAAGTTGCAGCGACTGTGGAGTGTCTCTGCTGCTGGCGCTGAAACCTGCTCTGTTCTCGCCAGCGGCCAGGTGTCCGAGCATGACAAGAATCTGCTCGGGGTAGGGTCACGTGACTCCGCACCTGTTCCAGGGCGTCGGATGAGGACTGCAGCTGGTTCAGGACCGATTGAAAATGAGGTCCGAAGAGGCCATCTGGGGACACAGGACCTTCCAGGAGTTCTTTTTTAACATCCTCTGGGATGGATGGGGACAGTTTCAACCACATCTGTCTCTGCAGCAACGTTGTCCAGGACGAGATGTGGGTGGAGCACGCTGCAAGCACCGCACACAGGTTGGTGATCGTGTCCGCATCCGTACCGATCTGGTCCAAATCTGCGGTGAATGGGTTTGATTCCTTCACCTCCTTAGCTATGCTAAGGGCTAGCATAGCGATGTTGTTGGTTGCTGCTCCCACCTGTGAAGAGCACTGATGAATTCTGTCCATCAGCTTTGCGGTGAGCTGGTCACCAGAAGATGGCGGGGTGATACGTCGGCCGACGTATTTCGCTGCTCTTACCCCGAAAACAGCCGACAAACTAGTGTCTACTCTAGTAGAGTTCTAGGGGAAGGATGATGGGGAAACCTTGGTACGTGAGCCCTTTGACTTTGGTGATGGCCATGTAGGAGGCGACCGGAGCCCTCAGCTTTACGGGATCATAGGCTGAACTCAGGAGGAGGGCGGACACAGCTGGGAAACAGGGCCAGACCAGGTCCCGGTGTCCAATGTGCTGGGCGACAAACCTTGCCGCCAGAAGGGTCGACATGGCCGGGGCTGCCGGTTCGGACACTTCCAGGTCGCAGGCTCTCGCCGACCTCCCAATTTTCTCCGGGATCTTGTGGAGCAGAGTGGTGAACGACCCCTGGGCACTCGGGGGAGCGAACATCGAAGGCAACACCGGCTACAAACCTCCTGTAAAGCAGGATGGAGCGCGGCTGCTAGCTGTTTCAGTTTCAGAGGGGTGCGTGTTCGCGAACTCCGTGTCCAGGGAGTTCAAAAATTCCTTGAGTGAACAGTCCCCGCTCGGTTGAAATTCATCCTCCTTAGAGGAAAAGAGCTCACACCAGCGCTGCTTCTCCTCAGCCGAAAAAAGTTTACAGGCTGGACAGGAGAAGAGCGGATCAAAAGATTGCTGAGGGTGGTCAGCTCCCAGGCAGCTTTCACATGCGGCGTGCAGGTCTGTCGAAGAGATGTAGCTCGTCTGGCACGCGGAGCATAGACGGTCTTCGATTTCTTAATGGAAGTCACCTTTCTCCTTTTTTTCTATCTATTATTCTTTCATAGAAGTAGTGTTCTTAGCGTTGGCTGAAGAAAAACGGGAGTCGATTTCCGGTCCAGATGCAATTTATAACGGACCGGGTGGGGCCGCCACAGCAGTTGGGCGTGGACTAGAAGTTTTCAGTGTTCGGCACGCTGCGCGCAGGTAAACCCAATAGCGTCAGCTTTTAAAGGGCGGAGCTTACACAAAATAAAACATAAAAAGTAAAGCTAAGAACAGCGGGGTGGGAGGTGTGGGAGACCACCACCACCCACCCCGCTGTTCTTAGTTTTATTTTATTTAATCCACCACAGTGGATTGCGTAGAATAGGACTGGGAACAGGGGGCGGGTGGTGGCGACTACAGTCGATGTGAAATTTAAAAACTTGCAAGATGCACTGGAATTGACTAGTCAACTAGTCAATTACAACCCTAGGTGTGTGTGTGTGTGTTTGTGTGTGAGTGTGTGTTACCGTGTTAGCCAGTTGCAGTCCAGAGTCCATTAGAGACAGAAACCCGTCATTAAAGCTGGACTCCAGGCCGATGATGTCATCAATGATGGTTTCTTCCATCTAAGATCAGAACCACAAATTGCTTTAGTC